CAAGATGACACATGCTCAATGTAATTGATGTTTTACTGGTCAAGGTCACAGACATACTCAGTAGACTTGACATTATTACTGGTCAAGATTACACATGGTCAATGTAATTGATGTTTTTACTGGTCAAGATCACAAACATACTCAGTGTTATTGATGTTTTACTGGTCAAGGTCACATACGTACACAGTGTTATTGATGTTTTATTGCTCAAGATTAATACTCTTATTGATGTTTTACTGGTCAAGGCCAAAAACATTCTCAATGTAGTTAATGTTCTGCTGGGTAGCTTAGTTTAACGAATGCCTTTCAGTACGTTCAATCCTTGTTGAGCTTCAGCTGATTTGCTCTAGAGAATAACCCTGCTTATGTAACATGTGTGGGGATGCCTTTAGTCATGGTCCACATCCTGCTTGTCATCACTGCTGTCCTAACCTCTCTACTCCCTGTGAGACACTAAGCAAATGCTTATTACCAACCACTGTGCATTATTTGTAAAATGGGGATAATCACACTTAACTAAGATTTGTATTGTGATGATTGAATGAATTATGTATGTAAACTCTTTGAAAATGTGTCTGGAACATTGTATAAACTCAATAAAGATATATTGTTTTTATGGTCGTTAACCATTAGTGTTGAGATTGGTGAATTCTTCCAAGAAGACAACTTGTAGGTGCAATGAGTTTAGATAAAGGACATTGAATTTTGTCAGAGGAAAGCAGCCTCTAACAACCACGGGGTCCGTAGGAGCCATTCTACGGTGATGATATACAGCGATCCTAGTGGAGTCATAGAGCATAGGAGAGGTGGGAGAGAAGATAAAGAAATCAAAACACATTTCATGGTGGCATGCTCACCTCAGCCCCTCTTGGTGGTCCACGTGGAGGTCGAAGACGAGGAGGAGAGTGGAAGGGAAAGAATATTTCTAACCAAGGCTTATAGATACTTAGGGGGGGTGCAAGCCCCCCTAATTACAGGTAACCACGTACATCACAGGAAGGAGTTGTACCATAGACAATACAGCAACAGGATGGGGAACAACCTAGTGGGGGGTACCCGCAATAGGAAGAGGAGGGATTAGGGGTACACATGTGACAAGATGGGCAGATCCTAGATTCAAGATGGCAGCCCAACCTTAGTGGTCCTTGAATTCGTTTGACTTATTCTGAACTCTCCTTCAGGAAAGCAATCCATTATCCTTAACAGCAGGGAGTGGGTCCCACTTGTGGTGGGACTGACAATTGAGTCTGATCACGCTATATGCCCGAAAGCCCTCTGGAAGATAACTTCTAACCAGCTTGCTTCCAAGTGTGCTACAATTACATGCCAAGCGTTGTAAGCAGTGTCCTAGGCTGGGCATACAATAGATATGGGGAACAACCTGGGGAAAAATCTGCTAGTATCCCACAGAATTTCTACTGGGGGTAGGGGAGGGAGCGTTATGACCTTCACAACGTTGGGTTAGACAAAGACATCTTTCTATGACAAGGGCACTAAACATAGAAATGCTAATAAACTGGGCTTCTTCCAAATTGGAACATTCTACCCATCAACCAAAGCCATGGCACCACTAAAATAGGGAAAAGGCAAGAGACTCAGAGGTAATATTCACTCTGCATACACCTGAGAAAGGACTCCCATAGAAAAATACAAAGACTCTAAGGTCAGTAAGAAAAGGGCGACCCAAAAGGAGGAAAGACTGTATGTGTGAGTCTGGGTACTTTGGAGAAACAAATCCACAGAAACTCTTGTATAAGAGAGAGTTTTATATAAAGGGTAAGTGCACATCAAGAAAACATCCCAACCCAGTGCTGCCCAA